TTGTGTAATTGATATGCAGCTTGGCTTGGTTATCATCTCAAATCTCACTTACCTGTGGATCTTTTTGAAGCCAATCATGTAGTCCGGCACAGGGCACCCAGCTTGTTTTATAACATTAGCAATGCTGTTCAGATGAGAAAAACATATACATGTTAGAAAAGAAAAGAAAAAAAGCCTTCATCTTGCCAATCCTCCATAAAAGCTTAGGTTACAGAATGTACACAACATCCAACTCAAGCTTTCTCTCCCGGTTATTCGAACCTAATCGGTTTATTTTGTACCTGCGCAACAACGGTTTGTCATTTTCTGTAAAGAAAGTGATGGCCTTCCCGTGATGTCCAGCTCTACCCGTACGGCCTGAGGGATAGACAGATTTCCATGACAAAAAAAAAAAAAAAAAAAAAAAAAAAACAAGAAAGAAAAAGCATTTAATAAATTCTTCATAATTTACACTGCCACAAAATACTCAACTGATGTGGTATCTTTAGACAATCTCAAAGTCAAAAAAATAAACATTGCTGAACAGTAGTCCTCCAATGAACCCACCGATTCTGTGAATGTACTCCACGGCGCTGGTGGGGAAGTCGTAATTCAGCACCAGGTTCACTCCTTTGAAGTCGATTCCTCTGGCGAGCAAAGCCGTGCAGATCAGCACCCAAATCTTCCCAGAGCGAAAGCTGTTCACCACGTTGTCCCTCTGAAACGCAGCAGCCAGTCAGGACGCCATGAACCATGCGGGCTTCCTGCACTGCTTACTTGGTTAGACTCTAAACTTTTCCAGACTCAATGTCTAAATACAAATGTTCACTATGATGGACGGATAGTGGTGGACAGATGAAAGGACAGATGGATAGATGCATGGACAGATATGCAGGCTGAAACGAATTTTGTTGTTTTTCTGTACAATGATCTGTTCGAATGGACTGACAAACAGATGGATATACAGAAACAATGCACTATTATTGTACCATTAACCATCCAATTATTTTTTTCAATTGTATTTATAGTAGTTTATTTATCATGACACTAATAAATTCTACATGACGATGTTTACCAGTCTGAAAAACTCAAAAATATACTTGAATTGTTATTTTTACAATTTTTCACTGACTCTTAGTCTAACCTTAACCCCTAACCCTCCACACCCTAGTTCTATCCAGGAGCAGAATTTCCATTTCTCGTAATAAAATAAATAAATAATAATAATAGAACAACTATTTAAGAAGAAGGATGGAAAGATAGATAAACTCATAGAGAATGGATAAGCAGCTAATTGAGAATGAAAGGGTCAAATAACAGATGGCTAGACAGTAAGAATGTGTGTGTTTCTTTCCACCTGCTGCTGTGTTCGTTCTGCGTGGATCACGTCAACATTGATCCCTTCATACACCAACTCGTGGAAAAGCTCCCGCGCTCGCTCTATGGACTGAACGAACACCAGCATGGGAGGCAGGAAACCCTGGAGCACAAAGAGGAAAACATGCTTCACTCCACCAACAAAAGGTTCAAAAATACAAAAAAGCACTTCTTACTTTTTTGATGATGTCCCTCATGGCCACAAGTTTCCCGTTCTCCTCCCCGACAAACAGCAGCTCCTGTTCCACCGTCTCCACTGCTGTATTTCTGAACATTTTTTACAGCATTATTATGTTAAAACACAATGAGGTATTCAGTTTTACAGTCAGAACGCTACCTGTGTCCAATGTTGACAGAAACCAAGTTGTCGAGGTTCAGGCGGCACCACTTTTCCACCTGCGGTGTGCAGGTGGCGCTGAAAAAAGCCCTGCGCACCTTGGCGTTAGAACATGCCAGAAAAATGGTTGCCAGCTGCTCCCTGAAGCCCGTCTTCCCGTCCTCAAAGAGCTTATCGGACTCGTCCACAACCAGCCACTCCACACTGAGAAACAAGAGACGTGTCCGGAGTGAAGACAGATGTTAAGTTAACAAAATGAGAAGTGTGATAAATAATACCTGCTAAGGTTGATTCCTGGAGGATCCTGGTTGAGAAGGTAGATCAGTCTGTTGGGAGTGCTGACAAGGATGTCTGCACAAAAAAAAAAAACATAAAAAAATTCACAGTATTTAATAAGAAATATCTAAATAAAAGTCAACATTTGCAACCACTTACCATATTTTTTATTTGACTGTGGACCGTACTTCTTAGCTGCCAGGGAAGCTTTATCGATGATATGAACTCTAAAGCCGACTCCCTCTGACAGGCGCAGCAGCTCTCTGTAGGTCTGAACACAACACAACAAAGCTGAGTGCTAACATGGAAAGAGGACCTACGAAAAGAACACACATCTTTAACAATACCGCAGTAAAGGTTGCAATAACCAGGCAACACGTACTAACTGAAACTTTATTAAAGCTACTTTTGGTTCAATTTAAGCACTGAGTATAGTTGAGCTCCCTGTAGGAATTTTTTCAGTATTCGTATCCTTCGAGCCATAGTATTGAAGAGAGTCTAGAAAGGATCAAATGAAACTCATCAAGCTAACGGTCACAAGAAGAGCCACAAGATCAACTGTATCTTCACCTAAAAATGAAATCTTAGATGTAAGATGAAGTTAAAGCTCTGCTTCAGATTTAATAAAGTTACTTTTTGTTCAACATTCAATAAGATTAAATAAACTATTAAACAAGTAAGCTGAAATTTCAGCATATTCTTCCGCTGCAACAAGTGAAATATCTAAAGCATTGTGAGAACTAACTGCAACCAATACTTGATCGATATGATAATAGGTATTTAATAAATCCATAGTTGACACTAGTGAGAGGTGAATTACACAAAAATAAGGACTGAAACAAGCCTGTTGCGATGAGCAATTGATTCATTAATCACATGATGAATTAAAATGAGTTCAATAATTTCCATTTAGATTTTTTCTATTAATTTAATTTACGAAGCTCATAATCCATTTTTCGCATGGTTTCAGTTGTGTGTAGTTTTTATTTCCTTTTATTGTTTTTGTTTCTGTGTTATTTTGGACATATAAACTATCTTCCAGTTTTAGTCTGGAGTGTTCTGTACAAAATAAAAGTGTCTTAGTCTTTGAGACAGTGAACTTGCATTATTATGCTATTATCAATATAATGCTTGGAAATGGTTTCAAAACAACAATATTATTGTTTACCGCAATAATTTCAGAGACAATTTATCATCCAGTAAATTTTGTTATCCTGACTGAGGTAGAAACAATCTGTGTGTGTACCTGGCTGGCCAGTTCTCTGGTCGGGGAGATGACCAGAGCCCTGAAGCCGAGGTTTGCAGGCTGCTGCAAGTGAGCGAGCAGCGGAAGAGAGAAGGCCAAAGTCTTTCCAGATCCGGTCGGAGCGCACGCTAACAGCTCCCGAGCCTAAAAGAGAAACCAGACCATCAGAAATAATCTCAAATCAAAAAAACTGAATTAAGTGCTCTGGTTGGCCAATCGCAAAGTCTCTTAACTCACATGCATCATGAGCGGTATGGCCTGCATCTGTATTGGCGTTGGCGTGTTCAGTCCTGCATCCTTGAGGTTCTGAAGAATGCGCAGGTTGAGATTATACTCGGACTGAAGCTCCTCAAACGAGCAAACCGGGTCGGGCACATCGCAGCCATGGACGTTTATACGGTGCTGCGCGCGAATGCGATTCACCTTAAAGCCAAACCCAGAAAGAAAAAAAAAGGTTTAAGGAGTGTCCTTTTCCTGGACATCCAATGTATCCAAAAACAGACAAAAATCTCTTTCTGGAGATTTCAGTGGGAGGAGACCTTTTCCTGATGAAGATGCTTCAGCCTCTTGAGTGAGAATTTCTCTGTCCCATCCTTCTGTACGTTTTGGATCTTTCTTTCCAATGAGGAAGTCCAGGTGATGCCGCCTCTCTGGGTCTCAGTCAATGGTTCACCACTTGCTGGAGCTAAAAACAGAGAAGAGAACTTATACTTTGAAAAATTAACTTTACACGATACAATTTGCTCCTGCAGTAAGCCAAGCTGCTTCAAGCATCACTTCACATTTGTCATTTAAAGTCAGATCTCTGTCACAGTGATGGACACTTTTGATACAGAGCTGGTAACAAGAAAAAGTACTTCTTTAGCTGTATGTATAAATGCCCTAATTCACAATTAAAAACTATTCCTTGTTTAACGAATATTGTAACTCCTAAAATATAAAACTATTTTTAAAAATGCCTGAGAAGCAAGCATGGATTCTGCGTCCTTTACCGTCCTCCTCCATCCGGCTGATTTCCGTCTTCTTGCTTTTGTGTCTCACTTCTCCCGTTTGCTCTTTGCGTTTTCTTTTGCCTCCTACTTCAGAGTCTCCACTGTCGATGCCTTCCTCATCCGCTCTCTGGGTGCTCTGGGCTCCATTAGCTGCTCCTGTGCCGAAGTAGTTGATCGCAGACAGGGAATCCAGCGACGTTTCTCTGCCCTGAGACCTGGCCACCTGCACAATGGGTTAGAACATATGCAGGTTTTGTTGCTACCATAGTGGCTTGTATAATAATAGCATAGCTAATCACCAAAAGGGAAGATAAACCAGAGAAGCAACAAATATCACTGCTAGCCAAAATGAGCAGTGGCTATTAGTGTTAGCTCCTACTTCCGCCGAGAATTGTTATCGAGAGTACCTTAAACCTAGCAGCATCTTGACCAAATCTCTTTAAGTCAAATTTAGCCCCGGCTCCGAGTTTCCGAAACAGCTCAAATGTGTCCATTGGTGTGGCAGCAACGTGGTCTGTGAAAGATCCACGCAAAGACAATCAACATCCGGTTCATACGCATTCCAGCCTCTTCTTCCCCCTGGTGGCCACTGCTGGTACTACACACGAGATTAAGTTTTCCGTTAAACATTTCTGCTTAGATTCTTTTATGGTGGCACTTTGAATTAATAATTGATTTCTGCGAAGACTGATCAGATGAAACGCAACAATTAATACACATGTTTATTTTTTTTAACCTTTATTTAAAAAAAAAAAAACAGGATAAAAACCCACTGGGAAAAGGAATCCTTTTTCAAGGGAATCCTGGCCTGAGAGGCAGTAACAAATACAACAAACACAAAAATATAAAGTCAAAAGAAATGTCAAGCTATAAACAAGTACATGTAATTGAATCAGCATCAAAAACTTTTAGTTTGTGTGTTACCACATTGTGGGGAAAACAGACTTTTGGTGGCATCCTGCTGGCAAAATGTTTTGAAAAAATTGACATTCTGCAGAAAGTATCAGAATTTGATAGAACTGGGTTAAACATATTTTTTCATAGCTCTTTGTGCATTTGAGAAAAGACTATTTTCACTGAAAAAATCCTGCCATGATCAAAGTATCCTCTTAGAGCAACTTACCCCAACAATCCAGGAGACTTTTAGTGATGTACATTGTACTTTTCATTATAAGGCACCATATCAAAACTTGGTTTGGATCTTAATCACATTAGATAGGGGGTGCCACAATACACATACACACACCACAGCTTTTCAAATTATATTTATAAAAAATAAAATTGAAAACAAACTACTCTTCACCTTCCACTTCACAATATATTTTAAAATACACATACACAAGTGGCTCTGTCAAAAAGTTCAAGGGGTATGAATACTTTTGCAAGGCACTGTAGTTTGTGACAGAAGAAAAATTTAGAAGAATCAGAAAAACAACAAAGGTATCAATCTACTTTCAGACAGCCAAATCATACAATAATACAAGGGATGCAAAATATATCTGTACACTCAGTCATACATCTAGCCAAAGACGGTGCAGTGTGGTTCATATAGGTGTGTGTAATACCTATATGAACTCTGGTATTATCCGAAATCAAGTAAATACAAGGTTAGTATTGCAGTTACCAATTCTAATGTTTCCAAAAAGTGTCATTGAATAATTTGATGACTTGACTTCAGTTAGTCAATTATGACTATGATAAAATACAGGTCAAAAATTTTAGGCAAGTACAATTACTTTTTATTAACTAAAAACAATAGAAAACAATGTAGCAGTATAGAAATCAAAGGGATGATAAAAGATATAATAACATGCACATAACCTAAATAGTTACAGTATTTTTACTTCAAATGTTGACACAAAAAGATTGTTATTTTCAATCATATTTATATTTCAGGTTTACATGAACATATTTTTGAGTTCTAGTGAGGCTTTTTTCACCTGCCAGAGACCCCGTCTCTGAGTTAGGGGTCAGGTTTGAGGATCTACTGCTCCCTCAACCTTTTGAGGGAACTCAGTAAATTAAACTTTACTTAGTTCAAAGTAAAGTTTAATTTACTTTAAACTCAGGTTGAGGTAAATTTCTAAAACTCCTCACATATCTTCAACAGATCCTCGAGGAAATGAACCACCACATCCTTCTCCTTCTCCCCTCCCTCCTCTTCAATCTTCAGGCTCTGAAGTCTGACAAGAGTCTCCTGGAGTCGATCCAGTCTTTGCTGCAATTGTCCACTCTCCTGCCCAGAGTTCCTCTCTTCTCCTGCTTCATCTTCTCCTCCTGTTTTTCCTTCTTCCTCCTCTGCCTTAAGATACTTGATTAAATACTCTCTGATGCCCGTGCCCTCCTCCCCGGCCAACGACGCGCTGAGTTCAGGCATGTCCTGCAGCGTGCAGAGGCTGAGCAGGTGCAACAGAGCCTCAGAGAGCGTGTGTCGCAGGCTGGCGCTGTAGCGGTACTCCAGAAAGTCGACCACGTCTTCGCTGTTTTGCAGGGCTGTGGCCAGAGAGTGCCACACACAACTGAAGCGCTTTGTGTCACCGGTACCGCGAGGGCGGCGGCTGACTTGATGCGGACTTTGAAGTTTTTGCAGGAGGTGACCACATGGCAGAGGGCGGAGAAGGCATCCTGAGACCATGGAGCCGTCTCTGTTACAAAGAAAGAAACAATGGCCAGCTGTGATCTTTGACATCAGCAAAATCCAACAACTAAAAGACAGAAAGTTATTGCTAAAATCATTAGCTACTTCTAAAAGGGGACATATTATGCTCCCTTCAATTAGGTCAGGAAAGGTCCATGGGATATACAAAACATATTTATTCATTTTTTTGCACAAAATCATTCTTAGAAAATGAGATTTTTCTCTGATCAGTTCTGAATATTTTGAGCTCCTTTCAGAATGAGCTGTTTTTTTAAACACATCTTGTGACTTTACATCCAAGTCTGCTTCTTCTAGACACGACCCGCCAACTCAGCATTTCAGCAAGTTTCAGCAGATGAAAATGGCTGAAAGCAGATGCGCAATTATTCAACCATATCTTTGAAAAGAAGAAAAGGAGCCTCCTGCACAACCAGCAGTAATGTAGCAGGTGGTTTCTGATTGGAAAGTCAACAACCAAACTGGAGCTCTGCTTGGGTTGCTAGGTGACAGACTGGGAGCGCTGGGGTTGCTAGGTAACGGCGCAGCGCGCCTTGTGAAGGTTTTTGAAACGGTTTGTTTTCCAGACACCAAAAAACATGAACCTATTTCCAAAAACATTTAAGTGTTTTTTAAAAAACAGTTTTTAGAAGCAGTCGAGGCCCAACTGAAAGAAGAAAAACAGGCAGAAAGTAAATCTTGCATAATATTCACTTGAATCTCTAGACTCTTGAGAAAATGTTCTAAAAAATAGTTACCAAGCGGCAAGGAGGAATTTCTGAACGCATTTCCCAGTGCATAACAGGCATTCCACCTGACTTTCATAGCTGCTTCCGATTGGACGGTTTTGACCAGAGCACGAACCGCATCTTCCAGAGGGCGTTGGAAAACAGGCCGAGTCATCTGACTGTGACGCAGGAAATGAAGCAGATTTCCAAGCACTCGCACTGCATTGCACTTCACCTGGAAGGTCAGAGGAGAAGAAAACAAGGTAACATATTAGTTTGAACATGCTGCCCTCCGGACATCTGGGGGCAATGGGTTTGTTTTTTCTTTTCACCTTGTCTCTGTCTGCAGTTGCTCGAGTTGCTGCCTGCAGCATCTTCAGCAGAAGCATGTCAGACAATTCTTCCTGGAAATCCACGCCTACATTCTGCCTGAAGATAGAGAAAGATAGAGATTATGTCCAGAAGTTTACAGTTATTATTGTCATGAAGGTAATTAATTCTCAGTTTTTAATGATGAATTTGAAGTGTTTTTTGGTCAGGATGGAATTATGATACGACAATCAACAAGAATTTGACGCAGAAGTTCAATTTTTTTGGTAGATTTTATGTATTGGGTCAAAGTAGCACATGTAGATGATATATTATTAGCTTAAATGCCCCTTTGCAACTTGTGTCTCAACTTCACATTTTCTGCGTTCCTCGACAAATTTCTTGTACACTTTTGGCTGGTTGACCACTCTACCAGGGACAGAGTACAGAGTTTGTTTGATTTGGCTGATTTTCTGGCATTGATCAGGATTTTAATTATAAATAAAATGTTTATACAGTTGAGGTTCCAAACCAATCGATTCCAAAATCTGTTTTATTCAGTGTTCAATTGAAATATCCAGTAATGTCCAACTTTAAGTACGTTGCTGCTGATTTAAGAGGAAGTTCCACTTTTCACCCTATTTTCTATGTTTCATAAACCCAAGCAGTCTTACATATTAATGATAAGTGTGTCTGTGAGGTTTCCCAAAGACCACGCAGCTTTTGCACGGACGTTTGTAGATCGGTCATCAAGGGCAGCGAGGATAATGTTCGCAGTATCAGCCACAAACATCACATCCTGAGAGAAGAATATAATAACAGAATATCTGAAAACATTCAGATGACTGCTTTTCCTAACAGCACAGATCCTGATCTTTACCGATTACTTGCCTCTCTCAAACAAGGGAACAGTATGTAAACTCCCAAAGCCCTGACGGCTGCAGTCTTCACCAGATAGTTCTCAATGTAGGTCAGGCCCAGCAGCACGGTGATACACATCAGCTGGGTTTTATCCTGAAAAACAAGATTACAGATATAACTGGAGGAATTTCAATTTTCTCTTCAGAAAATGAGAAGGTGGTCAAAGGAGAAACTCACAGGCAGCTGAGCGAAGGCCTGTGGCAGGATGGAGGCCAGCGTGTCGCAGGCGCTTGCCTGTAGCGTGGGATGTTGTTCGTTTTGCAGTGCTGCATTTAGTGGCCCACTCAACACTTTTAACCAAAACTCCACCACCTACAAGCAGAAACATTGCATTAGGACACATTCCACAAGCGGCTAACATGACATGCGCACAATCCAAGCTGAATGTTTGACATAAAGGTTCCTCACAGGCAACTTGGATATCATTTATTTTCATCCATTTTAAATTTGTGTGATTTTGGAAGTGTCCTGTAACCCATCATGACATAATGTTTAATCTTCTGAAAAGTTGAGCCTTCAGTTTTTTCATCAAACTCTTAAATCTATCTTAACTAGCGAATACTAATTTAGTAAGCGATTAATAATCAACTGGAGTATAGAGACTCAAACAAGACTCCTTCAATTCAGAGCACTAATTAAGCCAAAATTGTATGAAATATGCACATTTTTTATTCAAGATAACACATTTAAAGAAAAAAAAAAAAAACAGCCTTGTTTGTAAATATGTTTTGCTCAAAAATCCTGAGGCGGCATAGTTTTAGCTTTACCCAGTTCAAATTCACTAAAGCGATGCTATGTTATTGCATTTTTAAAATTTTATTATTTAAAAAAGGATCTGAATTGTTTATTTGCATTTTAATGCATCTCTAGTATTACATAAAAAAGGCTTGAATGCCTTGATGAAAAAAATGTTAATAATCGATTCATTAGATAATAGTTGCAGCCCGAGACTGCAGCAAAGTTCTCACCTGGTTCACAGGAACTTTAGAGCTTTCAGGAACACAGTTCTCAGGTCTGTACTGCTGGATTATTCCTGCACCAAACTCTTCAAGTAGCTAAAAAAATACAACAAAACCCCAAAGTTCCTTTGCTTATTGTAGTTTTGTGTCATGCTTGCAGCTGAGGTAGACAGATTTACCTTTGCACTGTGTAGCTGTATGGAGGGGTCTGTCTCCTCGAGGCAACGAACGCTCACCTGCCCGATCTCATATAGGCTTGATTGAGCAAGAGGGAAATAACCGCGTACCAGATGGGACAAAACCTGAAAGAAAAAAAAACATGTCTTGAGAAATGCTTCTTTAGAGCGTTTACAAGTTGTTTCCGTAACCTTCACCTGCAAAGCTTCGAGTCGAACTTGAGAAGGCTCTAAAGCAGCACTCCTTCCCGCTCCCTCACTATCTGACTGCTCCTCTCTGGGCTGAATCACCAGAGAAACACACAGCTTCAGTAGCCACGGTGACGACTTCTCCTCCTCTCTTGGTGTGTGAGGAAGCTGGGGAGAATGTGTGCCTGAGTTTTGTTGGGAGAAAGCTGCTGGTGTCCGAGCAGGTGAGGCCGCTCCGTTCCTGTGTCTCCAGCTGAGAGCAGAGTCCTGCGGTGTTACCGAGCCGGACATACTGCCACCACCGAGGTTTTCTGGCTGCTGGAGGAGAAGCTGCACCTCAGGGAGGGGGGCCTGAGCCGTTACTGTCGCCCCGTATAGTCTCAGCACAGACCCGCGTACAGTCACATCTGTAGACAGAGCATTGCTACTGTCAGAGAGAAACTTTAAAAAGCTAGATAGGTCATTGAGATGAGGTGCAGACCTCTGTGGCGCACATAAGGACGAATCTGTTTCCAGAGCTGGCTCAGCAGGCCAGGTCTGAGGCGATGATAGGGAGCGTTGGCCACCAGGAACGCCAGGCACTAACAGACAGAGGAGGAGATACTCCGTGACTGCAGCACCGTCTCCGTCACATATATTTTTCTTCAGCACAAACTAACATTATTTTGGTCACTTTTATTATTCAAAGGCTGAGTTATGTCATTTTCATCATAAATTAAATATTTAAGAGTTTCGTTGTCTTCACTGCTATATGCACACTAGTATGAAAAATCAAACTTGAGAGGTACTACATAGCTAAAAATTGTTGTACAGACGTGATAAATATTTATTTTAGGCAGAATGCAACTGTGAACAAAGGGTAACTACAAATACATGAAATTGTAAAGTCAAGACATTTATCTAGAGAAAATTCAAAACAGACTTACTGCATTGATTGCAAACAGTGTGAATAGCACTCTGGATATTAAAAATCTGTTGCTTATTAGGACAAACTCATTCACAAATACATTCTTGTTAGAGCTGACTAAACAATAAACGATAAATCATCTTGCCCACCTTTATGACCTGTGTGAGTGTTTGAGAGGACGTTTCAGCCAGGAGAGCCAGGCTGAGGCCGCGGTGCAGCTCTCTGATAGCAGCAGCGAGCATGAATGAGAACGGGGTGTAAGACGTTCGAGGCGATGCTGTGTCTTCAGCCGCAGCTAGAAACTGCCGGGAACCATCCAAGATGGCCGACAGCACCTGAAGTGCACACAGTCGCACCTAGAATAAGAAAGAATATATGAATTAAACACAAAGTGCAATGTTTCACACATCCTGATGAAAACCAAAGCAAATGTTTGTGACTGGCTGTACCTTTGGTGAGGGGTCTTTTAGTATAATTGTAAGAAGAGTTAGAGATGGGGGTCCACCAGCAGAAGAGTCAGGGATGAAGGAGGACCAGTAACCATACAGAGTCCTCTTCTCAACAGCTTTCACTACTGCTAACATGCAGTGCAGCGCCAACTGACGAACACGGCACTGATAAACTCTAAAACGGCAAAATGGAAAAGATTGTTGATGGGAATAAAAAAAACGACATTAAAACAGGATTCAAACACATTTTTTTCTGTCCTGTTCTGATCATTTTTATAATATAAAAACAAAAGTTGATTAAATTCATGGCAGAAAATAAAACAAAAAGAGAGATGAATGGATAGATGATAAGAAATAGTATATTTCTTAAAAAAAGGCATTCCTTTCCAGTCACTGAAGGAATCCTGTGATCAAACAATCATTCATGTAAAAAGCTCTCTGTGTACCTTAACTTGCTTTGTGCGTTCCCCTCAATGTCCGAAAACTCTGATTCAGAACTGTTCAGCTTCCAGAACGGGTAGAGAAGTGAGGCGGACGGTCTGGCTAAGCTCTCCTCATCATTTCTGCTGACGTCCCCTCCGCCTTCAGGCACCGCTTCTTTATCTTCCTCCTCTCTGTCATCCACTTTGCTTTCATCAGGTTTTGTCTTCTTTCCTTTTGATTTCCTCCTTTTTTTCTGAAACAAGACAAAAGTGAACATCTTGCAATAAATGCAGAAAAATCCTTTGTAAGTACTAAAATCAGTAAGAACTAAGGCTCCTCTTACTCCTGATGCTTTTCCAGTCTTATCTGCCTGCTTTGGTGATTCTAAAGTTTTTGGTGGTTCAGTAGGCCTTGGTGGAGAGAGACTTTCACACTGTGAAAGAGGTGCTGGGTAAATTACCTCTGGCCAGTCGACACTTAAACCAGGGGCTCCCTGGAACATGAGCCTCTATGAAAAGAATCAGTAGGTCTCAAATGAATAGACTTCACCAGACAGATTCATGCAGAAGGAAATGTGGTTTGTTGTACCACCTTTAGTGCAGCCAGTACAGATCCAAGCTCCTCTCCTCCTCCAAATTTCCACTTCCCACCTGACAGACAGAACTGAAGTCCCTTCAGAGCTGCCTGGATGACCTGCAAGAAAAAAAAACATAGCAAAAAAGTGTTAGCTATCACTAAACATGCGTTTTCTTATTGTAGCAGGCCAGATGTAGGTACCATGCAGTAGAAGAGATCATCAGTGTTGGGAGGTTTGGGTGACTGCAATGTCTTCAGAAAAAGTCTGAAACAAACACTTCTGTACTGATCGTCCAAAAGTGGCTGACCTGGAATCCTGCAAAGGAAAACACACAGGCATCCAGCAAAATGGCACAAAAGAAGCCTAAAGTAACATTTCAAATATGGACATATAAAGACATTTAGGAAACAATTAAGCACCATTCTGTGTTGATCTACCACATAAAATCTAAAATGAGATAAACAGCAGGTCATGTCTATAATGTGATGAAATGTGAACATTTTTGCCGTCATGAAGTCTACCTGAGGCAGATGTTGGCCATGCAGGTGAGCGCAACGTGCCTCAACTCGATATTTGGCTGGGAAGGAGAACTGTACTGCAGAATGACTCCATCTTCACGCAGCAGGTCACTGACAAGCTGTGAACAAGCAAAATCTCAATGCAAATAGGACAAACATGACTGAAACAGGAATACATTTCTGTGACTGGCTCGAGTAGAACAATTATTGACAAATTTGACTTATTTTTCAAAGATATGAAAACTGAAGATTCCGAGTTTAAATGTCAACTTGTTTAAGGGATATTTTTGGAGTTTATTAAAGAATATACAAAGGTTAGCAATATTATTGAAGAAATAAGAATTTAGAAACTCTTTGATTCGCTGTTCTTCATCTTTAATTAAAGCCATGGAAATAACAAATACAGTTCAAAAAGCAGTGAACAATGATAATCTACCTGGTGGCACTGAGATCCATTACCATACACAACTGTGGAAAGTGCCAAGAGAACATCTGAGTGGGTCCATGTACTGCACTGTTTCAGGGCATTGACAGTGTAGTTTACCAGCACATCCAGTGTCTGTTCATCCATTATAACCTGGAGAAAATCCAAGCAGAATAAAAACAAGTTAATATATTCCAGCACACTGCAGAAAAACTAGCTTAAACCTCCAGATATTCGAAATGTTTAAGGGACATAAATAAACATCAGAATCCGCCTTTATTGCCATTGTACAGAAACTTGACGAAATTAGTTTCAATTCAGCCCATCAAAGGACCAATAAAGACAAATGAACAACATAAGACAAGAGAGTAAACAGGTGCCTGAAATTCAAATATATCAATTTAAACTGATTTTGAAATAATAATAAAAGAAATAAATAGTGGGACAACACTTTTACAAAGTCCTAGATGGTAAAGTAGATTTTTTAATTTTGCTCTCTTACCTTCAGCTGATTGAGGAGGTGATGAACAAGTTGACAGAATTTAACAACCAAGTGTTCTTGATTCAAAGGTACGAGGCCAGTGGTGTTCTTTAGCAGAATGCACACATCCTGGAAAAAAGAAGCGAGACGCTTTATAACAACCATGAAACCCTTACAAATGACTGCAGAGGAGCGGCTGCTGGTTGGTACATGTGTTACCTCTGGTCGGATGGTGATGGGAAGGTCGCAGCTCCTGTTGTAGTTCTCTGAAAGCAGCAGGTCAAACAGCTGATTGAGCTCCTCTCTCAGCTGGCTGCAGTCTGCTCTCAGGGCTCGAAGCTTTGCGGCGCAGCGGGAAAACTGCTTCTCCGCGTCCGACAGAGAGTCAAGCGGCGAGCAGTCCGGCTCTCCGGGACTGAACGGAGCGGCTTCGGCCGACAGAGCCATGGGCGGGAAGGCAGGGACGGCAGGACGGCCGAACACCGGTGCCGACACCCCGACAGGAGCCGACATGTTTATCACCCGGAAGCACTTTTCTTCGTCCTTCTGCTTCGTTTTGTTGCGGCGGTTGGTAAATAACCGCCACCAACTGGCGTGGAGTGTAAACCAGATGTCACCCAGTTTCTATTATACAACTTAGTTCCTATCAAATAGCTAAATATTTTCTGATAACTTTGAGATATTTCTAAATGAACAAAGTCTAGTTTTTAAGTTTTGGATCAACTGTTGTCTTTCTCCTTCATAACAGATAACATGTTCTAGAGTCTCTCCAACTCCACATTGTATTCATACTTGCACTATTGTTTCCCTGAAATAAAGCGATTTTCAGTCTAGAATGCCTTAATCCGAGATGATCCCTCTGCTTCTCATTTCTCTTTTGTAGCACCAATGTCCTCCCATTTTTGTTTCATTGTTGCTTTTTTTACTAAAACTAGTAAAATCCATTAAGTGTCTTCAATGGCATCCTTTCACACCAAAAAATGCTAAAGTTTATTAGGCCCATCACATACAATTTACTAGATTCCTAGTAAGATATCTAGTCTGGTTTGTGAGTGGCTGTATAAGAGTAATAAGATAAAAAAAATTTGTTCAGATTTCAATTCATTAAATTACCTTTTTTCACCAACTCACTGGACAGCTAATGTGAGCATTTTCCTTATGTATACTGAAATTCCATTATTTCCTTACTTTAGTAGTAAACTGGTACAATGAAAACAATGCCACCTCTAATGTATTTTTAGTTCCAACTTTAGGTTTAAGTTTTAAATTATTTTACATAAAATTCCCCACACCTTGTCATAGCCTTACACAGAGCAGGGTAGTGTTAAGGCTTTCAGATATGAGGCATAACACTACTTAAAGTCATGCAATACAACCAAATTAAAGTGCATCCACAGACATCATTTGAACTATTTAATTGTCAAAATTGGTTTGTGCTCAACATTTGTCAACAAAAACCGTCACAATACCAGGCAACCAAATGAGTTTACAGATATACAGAACAGGATCGCTGCAAGTTTTCACAGGCATAACCAGGAATGTTAAAGCACATACAAACCTCCACATATCACAGCTTTTATTAGGTTCAAGCAACAGTCCTGACATTTTTTGTCCTGGAAATTAAAGGCATTTGAACAAAAACTCTGTTGCTCATTTTAATGCACTAATAATAAGTTATTTTACAACAAACTCACGTGAAATAATGGACTCTACATGAACTCCATAATCAACTTGCACAAAAGCAAAAACACAGATATATCGAAGACAGACGTACAAACGCTGACAGAGGGCCACCATCAGACTGATCCTAATTCTAGGACTTCCTATGAATTATCTGTGCAGACATGATTAAAGCACTGATCGATGATTTGTGTTGCAGTTGGCAAAAAGTAATTGATGAAAGCAGCAGACCGGGAGGTATGCATGTCTGCAGAAAGGTGGCAGCATGCACATTGTGACAAGGGTGTATGCCTTAGCCGGACTTAAACAGCAGGATAGCCACCTGACCCAAGTAGAAGTAAATGAAATGTTTAGTTTCGTGTGTCACATAGCTGCCAAAGTTCCTGCCAACGATGCAGTGCCATGTCGGATTGTATTTCTTGTCAAACTCCTGCGGGAAAGATGAGAAAGATGAAGGTCAATGCTGATGTAAAAGTTCTTCAAAAGGTCATATTTTTCCAACATAGAAAGGGAGCACCATACCTTTTTAACATAGGCAGCGATATCCTTCTCTATGTTGTACTTCTCCATTGCCTGCATGGCACAGTCTACAGCATCATGCTGCATTTCATCAGACATGTCTGCATTCTTGATCACCGCCTTCTTGTCAGACATGATGCCCTGCAAGACACAAAAGTTTGATACAATGCATATAAAAGGATGCAGACAAGACGCTGTTTGGTGCATAGAATCCACTGTCAGCACTTTCTTTAAATCGATGTTTTTGCTTCAGTTTGCAAACCACGTGAGCCCGGGCATGTTACAGAGGGAGGCATTTTGCGTTTCATGCAGCGCTGCTACAAAGATAACTCATATTGGAAGTGCACGCATCTATGCCAACTTGGTGCTTTCTGTGCGAGAGGATGTTTGCTTCAGCCACCATTAGCCTTTGTAGTCAGATTTCCACAGTGGCTCATGCGCTTTTATTGCTCAAACGGCGCAGCAAAGAGGCAAAGCGCTCGGTTTCTCCTGCGCATCAGCTTTTGCATACTCAGTCATGGCAAAGCACACTGTGTAATAGTTAAATAACTCTTACCGTTCCTGTGTGTAGTTTCAGTGTTCAGAGATGCACGCTTCTGGGGGCAGCACAGCTTTTCTTTCATTTATTGAAGGACGCGTGGTTCTCCCGCTCCGCCCTCTGCATCTCTCCCTCCCGCTGATTGGCTCAGGACAAGACTTCCAGGTGACGCTCATTTTCTACTCGCGGAGAAGGGCCCGCATTTTATTTCCACCCAGATTGCACCGCTCTCACCTCCTGCCTCGCCGTAGAAGTCATTTTGACGTACTTAGAAACAGTACGTCAGCTTGTTCGCCATATTTTGTGTGGCAAGATTTCATCTGAATCATTAACTATTATTTCTATTATCAAGAAGCGAACGCTGCTTTATATAAGTAAATAAAACTTTTTTTCTAACATGAAATAAATAGGATTACCAAAATAATGGTATTTGTCTGACAATTCTTTATTAACAAAACATTATAATCCCATAATAATAATCCTAGGTTTATGATTTCAAAAAGTGTTTCTCTCACAAATAACATTAAAAATATAATTTTCAGCAGGGTGTGTAACTACTCGAGAGCTTCTAATTCTTGCAAAAACTAAAATTAGAAATCGGACTTTAAAATGTAAAATTCTAAGGTCTTTCAGAGTCACAAATTAGCTCCCTAAGATTTGAAATGAATCTAAGAGGAACCTAACGCTACCCAAGATAAACTGGATCTTTTCTGGTTGTAGATGGACTCTACATCAACTCCATAACCAACTTTGTCTAAGCAGTGCTAAAGAGAAGTCTGAATCTTTCACCAAAACTCTGATTTTTGCTCCATATCACAAAATAAACTAAAACCTAATGTTTGTTCCCATCTTAAACAGGACATTTATCATAAAGGAAAACACACATGCACTTTTAATTTGTGAGTTAAATAATTTAATTACTGACAAAGCAAGTTTTTTTCTGAGAAAAAAGGCTTTCTGTGTTACTCTGCCCTTAGGTTTACCAGCTTTGGGGAACCAGTGGTTGTTACTGCACACAAATACTGATCATAAGCCGATTCAAGAGACCCGAGACCTTAAATGGAAGGCTTGTGATTATACAAAAAGTCACATGGGAAACTGATACACCTCCCCTTTTTCTAAATAACACAATTGTTTACTTTTATAGGTTTTTTTTTTAAAGTTGAAAGTGAGATCCCCCACTCCCCCCATTTAGTTATCAAATTGAGCACATATATTCTCCTACAAGAGCAAAAACTTTATTTATTCCAACTTTACAAATCCTTAGAAACAATTTAATTGTGGTCAGTGAATATCCTGCTTTGTCCACAAAGACCACAACTTTGGGATTGAATTGAATATGATTGAATGGTACTGAAAAACATTAGATTCTCTGACTTGATATTAAGTAGATCTATTTAATAAAATGCTTTGAAAAATCTGGAAATTTAGGACTAGAATAATTATTCTTTTACAAAAATAGGAAGAAAAAAATGAAAGGGAAAACTTGCTCCTATTACCTCAGCTTACTCAGAAATACTTTGTGTAAGTGAGCAACATTGTGTCAAACCTGTATATGACATAAAATGAAAAAAATACAACAAAAACAGCACTCACTTATTGTTACTGAATGTTTTATTAAAAGAGAAATAAGCAGTGAAATACTGAAAATCACAAATCATCCATCTTTGGAAATGACTGAACTATGAAAAGTCATACCATTTTGAGCATCCTTTCCTTTTTCCAACCACACCTCCCTCGCCCCTTGACAAATGTTCCCCACAATTTACCACTCTCCTTCCTGCACCTCCATGCCCTCCTACTGGATCCTATCCAAGCTTTGCTCTTCTTTTTAGAATTAAAAAAAATAAAAATAAAAAAAATTGAGAAATGGTTTCCCCACTGTGCCTCTGCGTCTCTGAGGTCCCAGACCAAAACTGAAGGAATAATTTTGATAATTCCGAAAGCCAAATCAGTTTGATTTATCTCGTTTACATAGAGGTTTCCGGTTAGCCGGGGTTAGGTGGACAGGGCCGGGGTCGTGCTCCATGTATCCATCCTGAAGCCTAATCCTAAACTGATCCTGAATCCTGATCCGGATCCGGAAAGGTGAGCCAATGAGCCCAGTCCAAACCTTTAGAATAACCAGCAGAACCAAAGAGAAGGAGGTGAGTTAGAATCACACCTTTGGAAAACATTTTAAAAATATTAATAATTCAACTACCAATCAAATCCAAAAAAATACTTTGACTACAAAAAGATGAGAAGCAAACACCAAAAAAAACCCAAAACAAAACAAAACAAAACAAAAAAAAAATAAGTTTTAGGGTCCCCAAAAACAGAATACAGCACACTTTACTGTAACATTCAACAGCAGTATTCAAGTGTAAACTGAGTATTTTAAAGAAGAAGAGATTCACAAAAGCCTTAAGTGTAGATTTCACAGTCAACAAGGCACAGCCATCATACCATTGGTGCCATATTTGACTCCTCCTCCTCCTGTTTATCCTAAAATGAACAGTTTCCTCTCTTCCCATCCTATCCTGTTCCTCTGAATTCTACAGAGAAACACACAAGAAGGTCAAAGGACAGTTGTATATGGTAGGGAGAAGTCAAAGACGATGGCAAAAAGAAAAAACAAAAGCATTCAACGAGAAGAGAAAAAAATGCTAGAACGAGAAAAAGATGGATAGCAGAAACAGAAGGGGAAAAAGACAGAGGAAGCCAAGCGGGGGGAGAAAATCAGGTCTGCAAAAAAAGTAGGAAAAAACAAAATGGAGAAGGAGGGGTGGGTGAAACACACAAAACAACATTGTACACAAGTGAGAGATTATCCTGGGAG